CTTTGGGGTGATGTCAGACACAGGGTGCTGGGCATGGGCTGTAAGGAGACCCCTCCCCCATCAGTCATACCCAGGAAGGTCCCTAAGCCCATGTCAGACGTCCTTCCTCCCCTCCCCCAGCCCAGCCGGGCCCTGGATGGAAAACGGGAAATGGAAGACAGTGCCATGTACCCCTGCCCTTGGCCAGGTCCCGGGGAAGGCTGTAACCCGAGCCTCTGCTTTCTCCTCTTCCACGCGGACTTGCCCTGTGCCCTGACCTGCGAGTTCACTTGGTGGCCTGGTAGGAGGTCACCAGTGGCCAGGGCAGAGTCCAGCTGAACCCTACAGACAGTCAGAACCTTAACACTGAGGCTGAAGAGATTTGGCTGCCGGGGCGGTGACTCTATCCCCAGTGGGTGACAGGGCTTATTGGGGACAGTAGTTCCTACAGTGGCGGGAGCTCTGGGGCGGTTGTAGTTACCTGGAGTTGTGTCCTTCACCTCTTGGGCCTCAGTGTCCCCATCTGTGAAATGGGGTTGCTGACCTCCAGGGGTAGCGGCAAGGAGTAAAGGAAGCGGTCTGTATATCGTGTGGCCCTAGTGCCAAGTAGATCTTAGCTGGGCAGGCGGGGGTGTTATTATTTAAGTTCCTGGATCCAGTTTTGGTTCCTTCATATAGAAAGTAGATGATTAATCAGTGTTTGAACCAGTGCAGTGGCCTGTTTGGATGGTTCTCGGACCTGTGTAAGCAACCTGAGAGCAGGATCTTGGTTGTTTTTGTCCATTGCTGCATCCCCAGGATCAGAAGTGCCTGGCACATAGTAGGTGCTCAGCTGGTACTTGCTAAATGTACAAAACACTCTCTTGTCAGTGTCACAGGGTTGCCGTGGCACTGACTCTCCAGGCCGCGGTTTGGGAGGTGACTGGCCTCGAGTGAGGGGGTTGTTCGTTCTTGTGACGGTCCCCCCATTTGGTTCTGTGGACATTTGCAGGACAGCAGCCTGCCCCCGACAAGGATTCAGCATCTATTTAAGCTCCTAGTTCCCAGCTGAGGGCGGGGGAAGGCTGCGGCGAGTTGCTATTGGCATCTAGTGGGTAGAGGCGGGATGGTGCGAAACACCCTACAGTGCACAGGACAGGCCCTCCCCCACCCCCTCAGGGCACAGAATTGATCCAGCCCCAGATGTTAGCAGTGCCAAGGTGGGGAGCCTGAGGCCGGCCCTGTGCCCTTTCCTCCCTCACCTCTGCAAGGTTGCCCACCAGTTCTGCACTTGGAGTCCCTTCCTTTGATGCGATTATCCAGCTGGTTTTAGAGAAAAGGGGATGGATGGTGCCAGGCCTGGAGAGCGTCCCCGCCGCCCTTTCCCTGATCTCAAAGGACCCTTGTCTTTGCTGCGAGTCACGTGCTGTGCCCGTCACATCTGTGGACAGAAGCACCATTTATACAGAAGCCTCCGGGTTGGCCTGCGGAGGATAATGCTTAGCATCTAAAAAAAGTGATAATCATTGTGAGCCATTATGCTCTGCTGGGGGGAGAATTTCCCCTGAAGGTTTAAGTTTTAAGCGCATGCTCCCACCGATGGCTTTCCTCTAGGGCTCAGGGGTCGAGTGAGATCCGGGTCAGTTCTAACAGGGGCTTTGTCTAGATCTCAGGAGCGTCTGGTCACCTGGGTGATCTGGGTGGCGAGTGGGTCTCTGGAATGGCGGCCGTCTGGGGTCATGGACCCACGAAGTCTGGAAGGCACTGCGGTGGCAGCTCCCTCCCCGGCAGGGTGTCTGTGCTGTGGCACCGCTGGCATTGGGGCCGGACCATTCTTTGTGACGGGGGCTCCTGCGCGTTGTGAGGTGTTTAGCAGCATCCCTGACCTCCGGCTACTGGATGCCAGTGGTACCTCTACCCAAGTGTGACAACCAAAAATATGTGCACCGAGACAGAATCACCCCTGGGTGAGAGCCATTGCTTTGGGCTGGAAGCTGTGTTTTAAAAAGTATTTAATTCTGTCAGGAAGATCTGTTTCTCGAAGGAAAGTTGAGCAGGAAGAACTCTCCTGAGTTCAGTAGAACTCTGTCGTTTATTGAGCACTTCCTGTGAGCTAAGCATTCCCGGTGGAGAGGTTCACTTAATCCTCTCGCAGCCTGTGAGGTAGGGCTTTTTAAGGAGAAAATCTCTGCTGACGTTTCAGAGTGTTGTGTCCCCTCCCCCCCCCAACCTCCACGACAGACGCGTTTTCTATCGATCTCCGAGGGAGCAGGTACCAGCTGCTTTCTCCACCTAACAACACAGCATGACCATCTTCCCATGTCAGTCATCTTTTCCATAGCTGCTGAGCGTTCCATTGTTTGAATGTGGCCACAGTTCATTCAGCCATTTCCCTGCTGTTGGACGTTCACGTTGCTTCTCATGTGTTTGCTCTGTTAAACAGCGCTACAGTGAACACCCTCGTATTTATTTCTTTGCATACTTCTCTTGTTATTTCTAATCTTTAGAAGTGAAATCACTACAGCAGCCGTATTTCTTCGAGCTTCGTGGGTGCAGTTTGATAGGGTGGGTTGGGCTGGGGGAATGCTGATTCCTTGGGTCAGAGGTGACTTAGCCTCTTGGGCCAGCCCTTCCTCCCTATCTCCAGGCTGAATCGCTCCAGCCATTTGTTCATCTTCTTCCTCCACCTTGACCCCGTAATTGGAGCTCATCTCTGACGATCAGTTTGCAACTGACTTCTGTGAGGCCTGCTCGCTCATCTTTTAGGTCAGTTTTCCAGCTGTTCTAGAGCATTGCCCATTGGAGGGCGGAGGAAGGGGAGAGAGGAAGTGAGACTCTTAGTTGCCACGTAGTCTTGTCACCCCCTGCCTAGAAGCCTCAATGGCTCCCTATTACCCCAACGTAAAACCCGTGTTGCAGCCATTTCCCACAAATGGTGCGAGGCCATCCCTTGCCTTTGGAGTCTGCCTGGCCCACCACCTCTCCAGCCCACCACCTGCGTTTTGCCTGGCTGGGTTCCCCTTATCCTTCAGGAATCAGCTAAGGGGCCCCTCATCCAGGAAGTCTTTCCCGAATCCCAGACTCCCATGGAGCCTGTCACATTCAGAGACTTGGAGCTGTTTCAGTGCCTGGTTTCCCGAGTGAATGCCTTTGGCTCCGTTGCCATTTTTTCTGGGTTCTTCCTAAAAGTGTTTTGCTTTTCCCTTTCTACATTACAACACATGACCAAATTATAACACATCATCCATATCCTATCCCTATGGCAGACATGATTAATCAATCACGATACAGTTTCCCCCTTCAAGTCCAGATACAGACTCGGTGTCTTTCTTTTCTTTTTAAAAATATATTTTTATTGATTTCAGAGAGGAAGGGAGAGGGAGAGGGAGAAAGATCAATGATGAGAGAGAATCATCGATCAGCTTCCCCCTGCACGCCCCCCGCACTGAGGATTGAGCCTACAACCCGGGCATGTGCCCTGACCAAGAATCAAATCGTGACCTCCTGGTTCATAGGTCAGTGCTCAACCACTGAGCCATGCCGGGCTGGGCTTGGTGTCTTAACACACTTTGGGTCAATTAGAGTTTTTTGTTGTCATTGTTAATCTTCACCTGAGGATATTTTTTTCCATTCATTTTTAGAGAGAGTGAAAGGGAGGGGAGAAGGGGAGAGAGGGAGAGAGAGAGAAACATTGATGTGAGAGAGACACATCGATTGGTTGCCTCCCGCACGCACCACAGCTGGGGCCAAGGATTGAACCCAAGACCCTTCAGTGTGCAGCCCGGCACAAACCACTGAGCCACTGGCCAGGGCCGGGCCATCTGGAGTTGATGCATGAGATGACACCTGTTTGCTGCCACGGTTTAGGGAGAAACCGAAGATGCAGGAGCAGAAGGTGATGTGTTTTACCTCTCAGTTCTGGAGATTGGAATTCCAGGAGCGTTTTTCTTCATTTAGGCCTCTTAGCTTAATTAAAGGGATGCCCATCGAATTGGTCGGTACAGGTGCCTGGCACTCAATTAGTCCTAGAATAATCCCCAAACGAATGGTTTTCCATCACTTTGGTTCAGTGCTGGCTCTATTTTGGGGGACCAATGGCAGCCCAGAAGCGCACACTCATCTTGTTTTACAGCCAAGAAACGGAGGCCAGAGAGGTTAGGGGACTTGCCCAGGGTCACAGCCCGCGAGTGACCATAGAGCCAGACTAGACCTCAGGCCTCTGGACTCCTCCGGAGTGCGTGCGCCCTGTGCCTGCCTGCTGCCCTGACTTCCGGCCTGGCAGAGGAGGGGACCCCTGTGGAGCCCGCCTGCTTGGCGACCCACACCTGTGTTGGCATCACGGCGACGTGTCCAACATGCTGGGCGCACAGACCGGACCTGCAGGTTTCCTCTGGGGCGTGTGCTTCGTAATTGGCCTGCCGAGCCGGCCCCGTCCTGCCTATTGGAATTCAGATTGGAGTAACTGGGCGTGGAAGTCATCAGAGCGTAGGCCCAGACAGCTCAGTCTTCCCTTTAATTGGTACGTTGCGTTAACCACCGGGGAACCAGCCCCGGCCGCACCCTTGGTCTGCGCGTAAGACGTTCCCCTGGCCTGCCCTGGCCGCTGTGGTGCAATGGATAGAGCGTCGCCCCATGGCCTGAAGGGTCCTAGGTTCGATTCCAGTCAAGGGTACATACCTCGGTTGCAGGCTCCATCCCAGTCCTGGTCAGGGTGCATGTGGGAGGCAACCAATGGATGTGTCTCTCTCACATTGGTGTTTCTCTCTCTGTGTCTCTCCTCCTCCCTTCTACTCTCTCTAAAAATAATCAATGGAAAAATATCTTTGGGTGAGGATTAACAAAAAAAAAAAGGAAGAAGTTCCCCAGCTCCTGAGAAGCTGCTTCCCCACTTCAACAAGCAGCTTCCAGCGACATCGTGCCATGTTTTGTTTTAAATGTGTACACATACCTGTTTACTTTTGATTTTGTGTAGAACATCCTAAGAAGGAGAAACAAGAAGCGGCATTAGCGCTCTCCCTGCAGCAGGTCAGCGTCATGTGGGTGGTGCTTGTCGAGAGCTGGAGTCATGGGAACGGGAGGCTCCTGGGCGGAGGCTCCGGGAGGAAGAAGCAGGGTCTGTGGGGCGAAGAGGCCGAGCGCACGCTTCCGCGATGTGGCAGCTCCGCAGACTCCTGTCATCAGTTGGAGGTGCATTTGCAAGGAGTGAGTGAGGGTTCGTTAGCCTTTGGGAGCACCTACTGTGTGCCTGATGCCACGTGGGTGCTTCACGCTCATGATCTGAGTAACAGCAGATGAGAGGGCTGCTACTGGCCCCGTTGTGTTAGCCTGTCCGTCTGTGTAGCAGCCCATAGTGTGAGAAGTCACTTTGAACCTGGGTCTGTTGTCCGCTGCAGTCTGTGCTCGAACACCTGAGATGAACGGAAAAAACATGGGTGTTGGCATGAAGCTGAGCCAAACTGAAGTCCTGGTCCTGTGGTGCCAAAGCTATGTGTCCGCACACCAGTCTGCCCTTCTCCGCTCCGAGCCTCCCGGGAAACAGGGCCTCCCAGGGTGACGGAGGTGGCCTCCCGAAATGATCTCGGTGCCCAGAATCGCTCCGTTTTTGCGCAGGTAGGACAGGACCTCGGGGCTTTAGAAACGGCCCTCTTGCCACACAGCCCTTGGGAAAGTAGTTGCCTTGGGTCTCAGTGACCAGCTGCCCGCTCAGCGCCCTCATCTGTCCCAGCCAAAGGCAGCACAGGAGCCCAGACCGTCTCCAGTGATGGTGATTAGATCCCCTTGATCCTCTGCCGAAGAAGCCTGTCCTGAGGTCAGGGGCTGAGGTCAGGGGCCGAGGTCGGGGGCCGAGGTCAGGGGCTGAGGTCAGGGGCCGAGGTCAGGGGCTGAGGTCAGGGGCCGAGGTCGGGGGCCGAGGTCGGGGGCTGAGGTCAGGGGCCGAGGTCGGGGGCCGAGGGTCAGGGGCTGAGGTCAGGGGCTGAGGTCAGGGGCCGAGGTCAGGGGCTGAGGTCGGGGGCCGAGGTCAGGGGCTGAGGTCAGGGGCTGAGGTCAGGGGCTGAGATCGGGGGCCGAGGTCAGGGGCTGAGGTCTGTCCGCTACTTCTGGAGGGAAAAGATGGAGAAGCAGGAGGGAAACCCGTTTGCTAGCTCATCCAGGCCCTGCCTCTGGTCCTCACCTGTGTGGGGCCCACTGCCCAGCGCTGCTGGAGGAGCAGTGCCCTGTGAACCCCTTAGAGGCAGAGGCCGGGCGCTCAGGGCGCGGCAGTGGGCCTGGCAGAGCAGAGGTGCCCAGCAGTGTCGAGCGGAAAGGGAATGGAGAGATGCCGGCCGAGGGGCTTTGTAGGGTACGATGCGTGACTCGGTCATAGTTCGTGCAGTCCCTGTTGTGAGTGGCTCCATGCGTCAAAGGTCGAACCAGCCGATACCGCATTTCCGGTCCTTGTAGTGACCTCATGAATTAGGACTTGGCACCGTTCTGTAGGCGGAGAAACGGAGGCTCAGAGTGGTGAGGGGTCTGACCCGGTCACACAGCTGGAAAGCGGCCCCCGGGCTTTGAAGCCGCTGCCCTGCCGCCAGGGAGCCGCACACGCCCAGGCGCTGGGAGTCTTCCCGGACGGACAGGCCCTCTGAGCTGTGTGCGGACACGGCTTAGTGAGCGGTTAGAATGGAAGTGGGCTTGGTCTTGGGTTTCATTATTTCAGTTTAAAACGGGCCTGGGTGGGAGTTAACTCCCTTTGCTACATTCTTCCAGTGTTACTTGTATCAGGGCCTTTTTAATTTCCTCTTAGTTGTTACAGTGTTAACTGTATCCGAGCTTTTAAAAGCGGTTACAGCGGATCTGTCCTCTCCAGGGCCCTGTAAGCCCCGCGCTCCTCTGCGGTCAGGCAGCCGGGCGGCTCCCGTGTTGAGAAAGGACTCCTTCCTGCCCTGCTGTCCCCGCTTCCCGTGCCGCTCCCGTGCGAGCGCTCCCTGACGGTCTGGATGCATCTGAAGCCACAGGTTTATGACGGGAGGATTTCCGCCCATTTCACTCACACCAGCCAGCAGTCAACACCGCTTTCTCGCTCGGCCTCTCCTCCCGCCCTCCGCTCTCTTTCTTAATCCCTGGAATCATACTTTTCTAGGTTTCCTCTCTAAAGAAAAGCTTTGCCTGTTGAGAAAGATGAAAATGATGATATAGCTTATAATAATAATAACCACAACAAGCATAACGAATACCTTCTTTTTAATTGAACGTCTCAGAGGCCAGAAACTGCTTAGCCCTTAATTCGTGGACTCTCCTGTAAGCCTCACAACAGCCCTAATGGTGGGGTCCATTTTGAACCTCCTTTTACAGGTTCCTTCCTCCCAGGCCACAGCCAGCAGAGAAGCCGCGTCCCCAACCCAAGGCTGGTTTTTGCCAAAAGGGGTGATTGTGGACAAAGAGAGTTGGCATGTCATGGAGGCGATTTTTAAAAAATATATCTTTATTGATTTCAGAGAGGAAGAGACAGGGAGAGAAAGCTAGAGATAAACACATCAATGATGAGAGAGAATCATGGATCGACTGCCTCCTGCACGCCTCCCACTGGGGATCGAGCCGCAACCCGACGTGCCCTTGACCAGAATTGAACCCGGGACCCTTCAGTCCTCAAACTGTTGCTCTATCCACTGAGCCAAATCGGCCAGGGCTGGAGGCCATTTGTAAAAGCAGCATTTTAGAATGTCTTGTGAACATTCTTTCCTCTTTAAATAGTGGGATTTAGAGGAGGCATTCGTTCTAGGAAGGTGGCATTCTCAGGGCTCTTGTCCTTCAAAACAGGCCTATTGCAAACGGAGCCATGAGGTGCGCACATGCCCTCACGCGCACGCACACGCGGCACCCACACCCGCAGGTAATAAATGATTCATCTCCACCAGCGGTAATCTGATGCCTCCCATTATGATCCCTGTAACCCAGGACTGTAGAGATAACCTGCCCCCCCCCCCGCCCCCGTGTCTAACAGTGGAACCTTACGAGCCAGCTATTGAAAAATAAACATTGAATGTGAAGTGGAACCTCCCCCAGCCCGACTCCTAGCAGCGCCACAGGGGCTTCATGGTCCCTCGTGAAACGTGGCGTTGACGGCGGCTTAGGTGTCCCGTCCTGAGTCCCAGCGGCTGAGCGTGAAGCTGCGTGTCGTACACACAGGCTGCTCTGTGCCTCAGAAGGAAAGCTGTTCCTGAGAGGAAGTGGGAGGTAGGTAGGAACCTAGGTCGGTGCCCGGTGTCAGGAACGTCACCCGTTGTAAGAGAGGGTTGTCTGAGGGGCAGGCGCTGAGGGGCCGCGCAGATGGGTTTCCACGTGTGTGTGGTCGAGCTCAGCGTGATGGCCGGTGCTTTCCAGCAACGTCGAAGCCAGAAAAAGAGGAAATGAGCGATTCTGTGTGGCATGCGGCGACGCCCGCTCACGGGGAGTTCCGCTCCCTGGGCCCTCTCGCCAGCTGAACTGCCACAGAGACCCGAGCAGGAAGCGCCGGTGTCCCCTGTCCGGCCGGAGCTGTCACAGAGGGCGTCGCAAAATGCTCGCTGGCCAGCGTGGCTCAGTGGTCGAGCCTTGACCTATGGACCAGGAGTCACAGTTCGATTCCCAGTCAGGGCACATGGCCGGGTTGTGGGCTGGGTCCCCAGGGCGGGGCGTGCAGGAGGCAGGTAGCCGATCAATGATTCTCTCTCATCACTGATGTTTCTCTCTCTCCTGTCCTCTCCGAAATCAATAAACACATATTTAGAAAATGGTTCAAAGCTCTACTCAGAACCTGAAGACATGCCGTGTAGAGCCGTGTCGTGCGGGTGGAGGGCCGGTGACACCCCCGGGTCACACCTATGGATCGGCTTCGCTGGCGGCCCTGTTTGGAGACCCACCGATGGCCTGTACCAGAGCAGAGGCGTTTTGGCCCCATTCCGATGAGTTGTACTAGAGAACGCTGATTTACCGTAAGATTTGGTAGATGGAGAATATTTGTTTTAATTTTATTTTTAGTACTGAGGTTGTGTCTTCATTTGTTCTGTGGACGGCCCATTTGTTCTCTAGGCCTGTTTTTCCTTATTGATGTTAGAGCTCTTTACAACGTGAGGGCAGTGGATGGCCGTCTGTGAGGTTTGTTCCAGACCAGCCCCTGCCCCGTCAGTGTGCTGTTGGCTTTGATTGGTGATGGGACTTCTCCATGTAGACAGTTTATGGGTTTTCTAATCAGATTTCTTGATCTTTTTCTTATGCCTTCTGGGTGGAGTAGCGGCCTTAGAAAACCTTCGGTGCTAAACAAACATGCTCCAGAGAACCAGGGCTTGTGTGTGCAGCATCTGCCTCTGAGAGTTGGTTCTGTGAAGATGCTAGCATCGTATCTGATTTTCCTTTTGTTTTCTGTTTTTACTTTGTTTTTGACACATCTTCCTTCTTGGGGGGGGCGGGCGGTAAGAGGAGGATCTAGAAAACCATCTGAGCCCAAGCCCCCTCCCTCCCTCCTGGCTGGTTCTGGGTGGTGTTTTAATGAGCCTGTTTTGCTGACAATAAAAAAACAAGTCTGGGGACACGGTAAAACTGGTAAAACAAGAAAGGGAACGTTGGGCCGGGCTGGGGCTGCGTTCTGTGGGAAGGGAGGCTGGGAAGTCTGGAAGCTGCCGGCTCTGTGTCACGCTCTGTCCCCTCCGCCCGCAGCAGGGCCGCTGGAGGTCACACTGTGAGGAAGGCCGCGTGTGCGTGGGGATGAACATCATCTTCCGGTTTTCCCGGCAGCCGCCGCCCCCCCCCCCCCTTTTGTGGAACTCACAGATGGAAGCACTCGGGAAGGAGGGAGGGAGCCGTGGGACCAGCCTGGGCTCCGCCGTGTGACCCGGGCAGGTCACTTGGCTTTTCTGGGCTCGGCAGCCTTGGACGGCGCCGAAGGAAAGCACAAGACCAGAATCTTCGGCGGGTCGTGTTGAGACAGGCGTGAGCACCTCCCGCTTGCACAGCACCTCTGGGCTGTGGCGAGAAGGACTGAGCCCAGCGCAGTGTGTGTGGTCGAGCTCAGCGTGATGGCCGGTGCTTTCCAGCGAGGTCGAAGCCAGAAAAAGAGGAAATGAGCGATTCTGTGTGGCATGCGGGGACGCCCGTTCTTGGGGAGTTCCGCTCCCTGGGCCCTGATGTCACTGTCCACAGTCACATCAGAGCTGAGATTCGAACCCGGGACCGGCCGACTGTGGGGCACTGCACTGCTTCCCCCCCTCACATGGCGCATGTGCAGATGCTCCCAAACCGACGTCCTGTGCACATTTATGTACAGAGAGGTGCCTCCCTGTCGGCCACTTCCTCTGGTCCCACATGGAGGTGAATTCCGGGGTCCTTCCCCCCTGCCCCCCTGTCCTGCTCCCCTCCCAGCTCCAGAAATACACTTTAGTCCCCAAATTCCCACCGCACACTTGAGCAGAAGCTCTGTCCCTGTGTGGTGGCCTCGGCATAATAACACTGCTGGCCGGCAGCTCCCGCTGACCACGGTGCGTCCCGGACCTACCTACGTAGCTCACTGTCAGGAAAACAAAAAACAGAACGTCTTGCCCCAGCCGGCTTGGCTCAGTGGCTAGAGCGTCAGCCTGCGGACTGAAGGGTCCCGGGTTCAATTCCGGTCAAGGGCACATGCCCGGCTTGCAGGCTCGGTCCCCAGTAGGGGGCGTGCAGGAGGCAGCCGATCAATGATTCCCCCTCATCATTGATGTTTCTATCTCTCTCTCCCTCTCCCTTCCTCTCTGAAATCAGTAAAAATATAGTGAAAGAAAGAAAGGAAGAAAATCAGCAGGTAGCAGTACCAGTCGTGGCCCAGCCCGAGCACTCACGGTGCACAGGCGGCGCCCCCTCCCCCTCGCAGCCGCACTCGGGAGCCCCACTGGTGTTCTCATCACAGACAGGGAGACTGAGGCCAAGCCCTGCCTCCCCGATGCCTCGGCCACCTTGATTGCCTGGGTGTTGGGAGCCGGGGCATCAGGTCAGTCTGAACTGTGAGAAACTGGATAGAGAAACCGCCCGGCAGGAACTACGCCCCTAGATTCCCGTTTTCTACAATCTGCTCGCCCATTCATGCCGCAGAGGCCGTCCAGGCACCCGCCGGGTCCAGCGCGGTGCCACCACCTGGGATGAGCGGGCACGGAGGCGGCCCGGTCCCGGCCCTCTCACCGCGCAGGCCCATAGGACACGTGGACGGAAAGCAGTTACGCGTGTAGCTGCTTCGCTGTGACACCCAAGTGGACTCGGAGAAAAAGCAGAAGGAAGAAGTATGACTGTCATGAGCAGGAAGACATCCTGATACTTTTTCCGACGTTTCATGTAAACATTTTTAACATACAACAAAAGTGAATGAATTTTACAGTGAAGATTCATACACCTGCTGCCTGGATTCTACCATCACTGTCTTACCGTGCCTCACCCCCCACGGCCGGCCGGCCGGCCACCTGCTGTCTGAGGACACTGTGCATTTCGAAGGGGAGGATGGGAAGCCGTCGCTGGAGCTCAGAGCAGCCGCCCCTCTGGAAGGGCTGGGTCCCCGCGTAGCCGTCACACCGGCCTGGCCCCCGGAGGTTGGAAGTGGCCCCGGGCTGCACCGTCAAGAGGGGCCTCGTCGCTGGCGGAGGAGATCTTGGCTCCCTGCATTATTGTTTACGTTTTTATTGATCCCAGAGAGGAAGGGATGGAAACATCGATGATGAGAGAGTCATTGACCGGCTGCCTCCTGCACGCCCCCTACCGGGGATTGAGCCTGCCACCCGGGCATGAGCCCTGACTGGGAATCGAACCGTTCCTATGACCTTCTGGTTCAGAGGTCGACGCTCCCCCTCCGGCCGGGCTCCCTGGGTTTATTCTTGAAGCCTGGGATGCGTTGTCCTGTGGGAGCCAGCAGTAAGTGTCAGAGAGCACATTCCCGGCCAGCGGGTCGCACGGCCTCCCCAGCTGCCTCTGCAGGATGAGAGCCAAGGGCAGGAGTAGGCAGTCACCTCATGGCAGCGCTTGGCAGGCCCGTCTAGGGGCCAGAGTGCCCAGATTAGATGCTCAGCCCCCTGCAGCCCAGCACCCGGGCAGCTCCCCGTGCCATCCGGGCAGCTCCCCGTGCCATCCGGGCAGCTCCTCGTGCCATCCGGGCACCTCCTCGTGCCATCCCGGCAGCTCCTCGTGCCATCCGGGCAGCTCCTCGTGCCATCCGGGCAGCTCCTCGTGCCATCCGGGCAGCTCCTCGTGCCATCCGGGCACCTCCTCGTGCCATCCCGGCAGCTCCTCGTGCCATCCGGGCAGCTCCCCGTGCCATCCCGGCAGCTCCTCGTGCCATCCCGGCAGCTCCCCGTGCCATCCCGGCAGCTCCCCGTGCCATCCGGGCAGCTCCTCGTGCCATCCCGGCAGCTCCCCGTGCCATCCGGGCAGCTCCTGGTGCCATCTGGGCAGCTCCTCATATCATCCGGGCAGCTCCTCGTGCCATCCGGGCAGCTCCTCATATCATCCGGGCAGCTCCTCATGCCATCCGGGCAGCTCCTCGTGCCATCCGGGCAGCTCCCCGTGCCATCCCGGCAGCTCCCCGTGCCATCCGGGCAGCTCCCCGTGCCATCCGGGCAGCTCCTGGTGCCATCTGGGCAGCTCCTCATATCATCCGGGCAGCTCCTCGTGCCATCCGGGCAGCTCCTCATATCATCCGGGCACCTCCTTGTGCCATCCCGGCAGCTCCCTGTGCCATCCCGGCAGCTCCTCGTGCCATCCCGGCAGCTCCTCATATCATCCCGGCAGCTCCTCATATCATCCGGGCAGCTCCCTGTGCCATCCCGGCAGCTCCTCGTGCCATCCGGCAGCTCCCCGTGCCATCCCGGCAGCTCCTCGTACCATCCGGGCAGCGCCTCGTGCTCCTGGTGCCATCCGGGCGGCTCCTCATGCCATCCGGGCAGCTCCAGCGTGGCTCGTGGAGGGAAATTTGCTCCCACAGGCCCGAGAGACGGCCCGTCACCGAGGGGAGCGGGCTCACAGCTCAGCCTGGGGGTTCTGGCCCAGAGCCCGGTCCTGACGGGGCCTCAGGAAGGAGGAGAGTAGAGGTGTCGGGCGAGGCCGAGTGTGAGGTGGGACCTGGGAGCTTGCACGCACAGCTGGGTGACGCCTGTGGCATTTGCTGGACCTGGGGCCTGACCCCAGTTACAATCAAAGTCACAGAAATGATCAAAGTCCATTCATTGCGAGTGCACGCCCTGGGACTCTGCTAAGCAATTCAACGCACGATTTTTAATCCCAGCAACAAGCCTGTGAAATAAGTACGATTACTGCCCCATTGGCCACGTGAGGAGGCCGCGGCACGCAGGCGGGGAGACTTGCTCCCTGGGGAGTGGTCGGGCCAGGGGTCAAGCTTAGTGTGTCTGGATCCCTCACCCGCCTTCTTTCCAATTGCTATGGAGTATTTCACTTATAGTGTCCAATGCTGTTCCTTCAATACACCTCTGTTTAATAGCTGTGATTAGAATGTTCCAGATGGCCGGCCAGGTGTGCTGGTCACCTTGGATGGAATTCGGCCTGCAGATGTCCCTCCCCCAGCCCTCTGCTCCCATGCAGTCAGTTGGTGTGCCCACCAAGGCCCCTGCCTGGCCCGGGGCAAGGGGACATGGCACCGGTGTTCTCCTCCTGTGGGTTTGGTACCCACGGTGGCCTGCCCGGGCATCTTTGTCCCCTGAGCTCCGGGCTCAGCAATGAGCAGGTGTGTTCAGGCTCTGAGGGTGAAGTCCACACTGAGCCTGCCCAGCGGGGAGCCGGCCCTTCCCTGATGGTTCCTCTGCGCCGAGCCCTTGGCAGGGAGCTCTGACCCGGGAGGGGGGTGTCTCTGGTCCCCGTGCCAGCCTGCCAAGTGGGTCACAAAGGAGGGGAAGGAGCAGGCGCAGGCCACAGGCTGCTCACATTTCATGTGGAGCCTGGAGTTCCAGGCACGGCCAGTTTCCAGGCCTGCATCTCAGTAACTCAGCTATTTTAAGATGCTCTGTTGTTTTATGAGCTGCCAAGAAATGGAAGATACCTCCAATTCAGAGCACCTTCTGAGTCCACAGGTGAACAAAATGTATGTCTTGGAAGTGGACTGTTTTGAGTCATCCTCGGAGCGCCTCTGTGATCGCTTCTGTTGCTCCATTTGCTAGATGGGAAAGTTGAGGCTCAGAGGGAAGGGATACACACCCAAGCCCTCATGACCAGAGCGTGCAGCGTGGAGTGTCAAGGCCATGTTCACGGTCTGTGAAGTGACTGACGCCATGTTCTCCTGGGCTCTTATGCAGAGTCTCGGGAACACGGAGCCTCGTTTCTTCCTTATAAGCTGGCGAATGAGAAGGTCTTTAATAAACTGGGTCCCTCTTCTCCCACCTCATGATTCCTTAGTCTGCCTCCTGGTTAATTAGCAGTAATCCGGCTTGTTAATTAGCTGGTTAATTAGCAGTGATTCGGCTTGTTGGCCACGATGGGTTGCTGTCCAATGCGGTAGCCACGGGCCACATGTGGCTATTTAAATTCAAAGGAACGAGGGGTAAACATTTCAAGTGCTCAGTGGCCACGTGTGGCTTGCCTTGCAAGTACAGAGCGGGTCCCTCATTGCAGAAGGTCTCTGGGAGAGCGCTGTTCTAGTGCGGAGGGTGCTGTGGACAGAAGGGGTTGCATTTTGAAGGCGCTGACAAGTCCTGCAGTAAGAAGCTGGTCTCACCTGGAGCCTAGCACGCCAGCTTTACCTGCCCGGGCGCCTTTTTAACACCTACAAACAGCTCTGCCTCTCCCTAAGCACATCAGGTGCCACCCCTCCTGTCCGCAGGCCTCCGTGACCCTTGGGAATCTAAATCTCTCTTCTCGTTTTCTCCCCAGATTGCCTTGGGTCCCCGGTGTTTACGCCCATCAAGGCGGACATAAGCGGTAACATCACGGTACGTACTTGGGCTGGCAGCTGCAACCCTGGTACCACCTGGGGAGTCTACACCTGCCCCGGTCACCGGAGCCCCAGCTCCCCAGCTCCCCAGCTCCCCAGCTCCCCAGCTCCCAGCTCCCCAGCTCGAGGGCTGGGAGGAGACCTGCAGGACGGGTGTGGCCCCCAGCTCCTCCGAATCGGACTCAGGCTCTTGTGCAGTCATGCCTCCTAGTCGCAGCCTGAATGGGACCACAGGCGGAACCCACGGAGGCGGAACCTGCTTCTTCTATCCTCTCCCCCAAATAACTAAACTCAGGCGTCCATGGTGCCTCAGGCCGGGAGTTCAGGGTGATGAGCCCCTCTCCCCTCCCCGTGAGGGTCCTTTCAGGGCCTGGCCCAGGGCTTGGCTGCCCTGCACTCTCTCATCTCTTCATCCCAGCAGCCGTTGAGGCTGGTTCTGTTGTCATCCCCGTTTCACCGATGAGGAAGCTCAGAGAGGTTGAAGGACTCCCCTGAGGTCACACAGCAAGGACATGCAGAGGCAGGATTCAGACCCAAACTGCCGGCTCCACTCAGAGCCTTGTCTCTGGACATCTTTGAACCCTAAGAGCATATTTCTACTTGTCCACACAAGTGGAACTTCAGACACTCGGTGTCTGAGGTGCTGACCACAGTGGTTGGAGAACGTGGACTCTGGAGCCAGCCTGTGCAGGAACCCGCTGCAGTGCCAGGCAGACAGGAACCAGCTGGGTCACTGGGCACCTCACTGCCCCTCTCTGAGCCTCAGTTTCCTCATCTGCAATTTGGGGTGATGACAGCGCAACATCAAGCTTGCTGTGAGCATCAGAGAAGGCAGCCCTCCCGGGGGGGGGGGGGGGGCGGAGGGCGGGGGCGACAAGCCCCATTGCCGTTCTTGGCCCTGGTGGGGGGAGAGCCAGGCCCCGGTGGGGTGCCCTCCCCGCAGCGGGCCGGCCGCTCGTCTGTGGGGACAGCTTTTCCAAGGAGGAACCCCGTGTGCTCGATTTCAGAAAATCAAAGCTGTGTACAACACCGACCCGGCCAAGTTCCGGACCCTGCAGAACATCCTGGAGGCGGAGAAGGAGATGTATGGAGCGGAGTGGCCCAAAGTGGGGGCCACGCTGGCGCTGATGTGGCTGAAAAGGTGAGGAGCCGGGGCGGCAGGCTGTGTGGCTGTGAGTCCTGGGCCTGCTCTGCGCACCCAGGACAGCCCCCCACCCTGCCCGGCGCGGCCTGCCCTGGCGGGAGGAGGTCACTGCGTTCCCCTCACGTGTGCCGATGCCGGTTAGCGGCTGAGGAAAAGCACCCAGGCCCGAGGGCTGCCTGGTGGCGACGCTTCCCTCCCGGAACCGTCAGAGGCGAGCAAGCCGCACACAGCCGGCCGTTGTGCTGAGCTCTTTCTTAAAACATATATTCCTGTTGATTTCAGAGAGGAAGGAAGAGGGAGAGGTAGAAAGATCAATGATGGGAGAATCATCAATCGCTGCCTCCTGCACGCCCCCTGCTGGGGATCGAGCCAGCAACCCGGGCATGTGCCCTGACCGGGAATTGAACCTCCTGATTCCTGGGTTACTGCTCAACCACTGAGCCATGCAGCCGGGCGTCGTGCTGAGCTCTGTGTCCTGGCCGCATTTCACGTGCTGTGGGTTAGGAGTGGTGTGATCCCAGCTCACAGAGGAGGCCACTGGGGCTGCTGGAGGCCAAGGCCGCAGGGCAGGCCTGGGACCGAGCGGCCAGCATAGTCGTCAGGCTGTGACTGCACAGAGAGGTCCTCTCGGGTTGGGTCAGGTGGTAGATTTGTGGGTGATGACAGCTTCTTGCAGGAATGCAGCATCTCAAGGAGAAGGAACTATCTAATTTGCACAAATTCGTCCCGTGGTCTGGGGGACAGGGTACCCTGATGAGGGGTTTGAACCCAGATGATCTTACCACAGAATTGACATGCTCACAGCCACTACACATCTTGTCCTCAGAGCAAATACTTGAATCCATATGTAGTTGTTCCCATTTTACAGATGAGGCCACCGAGGCTCAGAGAGGCCAGGCAGCTTTTTTGCGTAGCTTATGCTGCTCTCTACCAGCCACAGAATTCTCCTTCAGCTGTGCAAACACCAGAGCCCGCAGCGCCATGAAGCCAGGGGCCCTTCCTGGCCCCACAGATGTCCCAGCGTTGCTTCTCTCTGGGGCCTGGAGCCTGGAGCCAGGAGGGGTGCGGCTCCCTTTCTCTGCCCAGACCCCCCCAGCCAGCTCCTCCTTCCCCCAAACATGTGCTTCTTTGATAAAATGGAGCACAAAGAGCCTGCTTCCTAGAGCGGGTGGCTGTGTGGGCATCGGGGTGGGTGGCCTGTAATTAACACCCTGACCTCATGTGTTAGGAGTTGCTCCCAGCTACTCACCTCTGGTGTCATAACCCTGGAACGAGGAATGCCCTCGGCCCATCTATCCTATCACAGGATCTGGGCTTCTCAGGAGCGAAGCAGATGATGCTATCGAGATCAGTGCGACTGTGTGTGTCCACATGGGTGTGGGCGAGCCAGGCTGCCGGAGGGCGGTGCGGGAGGATGTCAGCACGTTGAGCACATAGTGAGCGCCTGCTGTGTGCTGCTCACGGTGCCGGGCGAGCAGGATGCCAATGAAATGAGGACAGACCCTCTCAGGGTCACGGTCTGGTGGGTGGATCCTGATAGCAGGATCTCAGAGCCTGGACAGAGAGGTCAGGGAGGGCTCCCTGGAGGAGGGTGGCCAAGCAGAGTGTCCAGGGCTGACCAGGAGGTCCCAGGCAGAGCAGGCGTGGCAGAGGTGGCAGAGGCTGGCGTGTCTGCAGCTCCGTGAGGAAACGGACAGGACAGGCCCAGACCCCAGCTCCCAGCAGGGACCGTGTTCAACGGCCACAGCCAGGCCTGGGGTTGACATGGTGCTTGGGAGACGCCGTGTGGAGCCGGTGGCCACGCTACATGGAAGCCAGGTGTAAAGATAAAACGTGGGGAATGAGTAACCTCCTGCTTTTGTGTGCACATGTTCCCGGCTCACAGTAGGTGCTTCGTTCAGCGTAGTTGGGCCTGCCATGCGCAGGAGCAGGGCGTCCTAACGGGCCTATCTCTCCTTCCTGGGCGCAGGGGCCTCCGCTTCATCCAGGTCTTCCTGCAGAGCATCTGCGACGGGGAGCGGGACGAGAACCACCCCAACCTCATCCGCGTCAACGCACCAAGGCTACGAGATGGCGCTCAAGAAGTACCACGGCTGGATCGTGCAGAAGATCTTCCAGGTGAGCCGGCGCCCGCCTCGTCCCGGCCCAGGAGGCTCCCAGCTGAGGGGCCCACGCCTCGCCCGGCCACGCCTCCTGTGGCCTCGGAGCCTCCTGTGGCCTCAGAGCCTCTGTCCATCCGTCCTGGGCCTCGGGAAGGGCTCCCCTGCCGAGGGGGCCGGTGCGCTGAGGGCCTCTCTCGGGCACTGTGAGCGGCTCCGCCTCACCGCCCCCTCTGTGGGCACACAGGTGTCATGCTGGATGCTCCGTGGTGTTCTGTTGAGGTGCCTCGTCCTAGGCAGCCCGATGGGGCAG